GGATGCACTGTTTTGGCTCACGCGATCGAGGCAGAAAAGAGGCTTTCTACGGCGAAAATGCGGCTTGGGTTGAACCCACCGCTGCCACCACGCCAGTTAAGAAGATAAGGCAAGAACCAAGGCACGACTGGCTCGTGTAAGGCTTTTAATCAAACTGGGATAAAACTAACAGCCGAGTAACAGTAACAATATGGCGGACGCCACGCTACGAACAACAAATAAAACGCATGCTGAGTCCTAGTACCGCCGACCGGTACTGGCGGTGGGACCTTGCAGGTGCAAGGATCAGAGCAGAATAAAGTATTTGGACACTTAATATATAACTTAACATAAATTTTCACTTCGACAAATCCAGCATCAGTCACATAAACAGTGTAACTGTTCCTTAATGAAATGTTTAGACAGAGTTTACTATGAATGACATCTTTATTAATCTGAATTCGCTTAAATATGAAAACATTGGATGTTTGGCCTAATTTGCTTTCAATGGAACTTGTTAAGGTTGTATTCAACACAGCAGGAGATATCACACCAAGTGCAAATAAATTGTGAGATACTTCCTCATGTTTGCACTTTAATAAGTGCCGTCCAACTACTGACTGGTACATTGATGTATTTTAATTTTTCATTTTTTTGTGTGCACATTCATTTTTTCTTTTTTGTTCTCTGTATGTGTCTGTGTGTGTGTGAATGAAATCGTGTCATGTTTTTTTTCATATATTCTGTAACTTTATTGCAATATTTTTTCCGCTTCGCCCAGCCACTTAGCTCGATTAGCCTTAGCTATTTCTAAGTGGCTGTGCCCTTTTTTCATTGTTATTTTTTCACATTGCATGTATTTATTTTTATTGTAAAACTTTTCTGGGCACGAAATAAAGATTGTTGTTGTTGTCGTCCACATGTCATGCTTTCATAAACCTTTACTGGATGAGCCGTACAGTAGAAGAGGTATTAGTTCTGGGATCATCTGTATACAAACAGAAAATGCAACCTGCAGTTCCACCTTCTGTGTTCCATGAAATAACTTTCTCAAATCACCATTGTAATCTTCGAACCAGAAGCAAGAACAAGCCCACAAAGGACCTATATTCTTGACACAATCTTGCAAATGTAGAAGAGAATGAACATTAAATTTCTCATAACAGCATCCATATAAGGCTTCAATTCTTAAACAGAAGTGATGCAACAAATTACCAGCTTTCTGCAAACACTGTGGTGAGATCGAGCTTTGATCTAATAACCAAATTGCTTCAACAAACAAAATAAAATGTTGGAAGTATTCATCTAATAGAATGTTCCACAGGCATGGGATACTGTAAAAAAAAAAAAAGAAAGGATCTAAACTCCGAAGCTTTCCAATGAGCAAAATCTTTTGTGATGCTCCTAGGTGCCCTTGAAATACAATTTGGTGGGGTAATATTTAACAACCGCCTGTCAACCTCTTCGTCTTGTTTGCTTATGCTCCAACATACTGTTGCATGTGATTTGTCAAACCACAATGTCATAAGCATCTTGGTAACTCCCAATAGAACACAATGTATATAATCCACTGCAATGCCTTTGATAATGTCAAATCCAGGGATAAACATAAACCACGAATACCCTTGGACACCACAAACTGGTGAATACTTCCCCTCTAGTTTTGACTTATGGGCCTCATATGCATGCTGCAGAGTGTTTTCATGACTGCGGTCTTCATCATAACCCTGATGCAGACATTTTCTGTTAAATGGATATGCATGTGTGTGACCTTTTGCACTTGTCTTCACACTAGTTCCCTGCTCCAAGCAATAAGGACACCCGCTAAAACCATTGTAGTGCACAAAATTTTGCATTAAGCACTTAGCTGGTGCATCCATCATAGCACATAACAAAATTCCTCTTACTGTGAGGTCTTTCCCTTTGTTGTTGGTAATCGCCATACCTGCAAGAATAACAAGACGAGATGTAGAATAAAAATAACAAATTTCACCCCACACTGTACTATGTATGTGCCACTGGGCATAAATTTTGATGATCGCATTGATAGTGTCCAAAACCTCATGATAAATTTAAATTTATGAAATGAATTAGTCCATTCACATAAAGTTAAAATCTAATAGAATAATAAACTAACACCTGTACAATGTAAAATGCCCAGAGTTTGAGAAACTAGGGAATAACGTCATAGCTTTGGCAACTTTGATGAATTATCAAGGCATTGCCACTACTGAAACTGCTTTTACCTGTTTCTGTTGTACAATTTTTTTGGTAACCACCTCGGAAGTGAAAAATCAATCCAACTTTCCCAAATGTAACCCTTAAAACCTATTCTGAAAAGACTTTTTTTCCAAGAGTCATCGTGAAAAAGGATTGATTATATATTATCAACTGAACTTGAAGCAACAGGTCTCTTACAATCAAGAATACCTCATCAAGAGACAATTTCTTGAGCACTCAGTTGGGTAAAATTTTGTAACGTCCTACCCATTCTTGAGGAAGTCCATGTATTTAGACATTAAAAGAAAAGAAGAACAATGATATACAGACCAGTGAACAGTGATATACCAAGCGTATCTTTAGAGTAAATATCATGGAATTCTTTGCTCAAGGGCTGCAGAAATGTCAAGAAATCTGGTCTCTTATAACCAAACCACAATCCAAGAAAAATGCTATTGGATGTTGCAAACCTTCCAAACAAATAATATGTATGTATTGTTAACAAGAAGGTCATGATAAAAACAATTTTCTGTAATATCTTGATATTGTTTTACCATCTCTCGCGGAAGGTTATTGTATCCCCTGACTAGCCTAAAAAAGTTGTCTGTTTCTGCTTACAGGAGGTTAAAAATGTTGTGTTTAAGATAAGAAATCGCCAGGACCACAGTTTGGTGTCTGCATGTGGGAGGAGACGAGTGTGTTAGTGGACATTTGAATGTTATCATATTTGACCTGCCATTTGCATCAATCCTGAAGTTAAAGTGTTTGATTTCCCGCAAATCTATCAACAGTACATGAAGAAACACAGACAAATGACAATGAAATTGTAAGCAAAAGGCATAAGACCAATAGAGTTGCATCTATTTGTAAAGAGGTGAATCCAAATTGCAGGGTAGGTATAACTGTAAACTTACTCTTAAAAATATAGTTTCAACCAAAGTTGCATGTACTTGTACCTGCAGTTTGGTGGAAGCTCATTCAACACAAGGTAAACCAGCCAAATGCTGTACTTAGAAGACCTGAAAAGAGCTACCCCATCAGTATTGATCTGAAAGCTTATGTGGAGTTTGTTCTTCTTTTTGTCATCAGAAGCACCCTTGAAAAAACCATCACTTCCAAAATGCTTTCTGTCCAGCAGTCCATCCTGGACATCCTCAATGCAATCTGAATTGCTCTTCTTTCTTGTGACTGGATATTTAAGTAGATCAAGAATGCCAGCCTCTAAACAACAATGTATGCCACAATTGCAGCAAGGTTAGAGGACAACTATATACAATGTAAGCTAATATTATAACTAAAGCCTTTGAAATGCATACAAGATAGAAGGAGACAGACAGAAATGGAGTCAAAGAGTCAGAGAGAATAATTAGTATTTTAAGTGTATTTGCATACACTTACAATACTCAAAATACAGTAAACACCCGCATATAAGAACACACAATTTCAGAGGTCAGACTGATTGTGTTCTTATTTATCGGATGCTTAGTGAAAAATCAGCCTCAGGATGTTCTTAAATGTTCTTAAATTTTTTTAAATTCAGTGCTGTACAGCATAAAAAATGTTGCTAGAAATTTTAATCATGT